AAACCTGGGTTCCCTATGATCAATGCCGGAGCCCTGCCAGCAGGCCAGGGGATCCAAAGGCAGTTGCTGGGCATGGAGGCTAGAGGGACATAGGTTAACAAGGAGACAGAACTGAACCTCACATCACCCTACTTGGCCCAGAGGATGGCTGGTAGTCAATGATGGGTAAGACCCCCCCCCCTCAGGGAGGGGAAATCTAAGACAGGCACAGTCGGGGGGCCAGTAGGAGAGAACTTGGGGTTCAATAGAGGTGGGACACAGATCCTCACCCCCCCCCCAGTGGTGCAGGGGCTTGAACACTCGCCCCTTCTGAGGAAGGTCTCCTGTGCCCATGGCTGCTTCTTGCTTCCCATGCCCAGCCCAGATAAGGAACCAAATAACAAAAGAGATTTGGTCCAGCTGGAATCAGAATCCAGATAAATGGAGGTTTGGCTAACAGACCCTATGTCTAAATCTAGCCTAACAATAGGAATGCTCAGAGTCTTCACAAGGGTGTAAATTAAAATTATTATTAGAATATTAAATTTGACAGTAAAATAGTTGTCAAGTTTTCAAATTAATTAAACTTGGCTAACTTGAAATACGTCATTATTCAAAAGGTATTAACCAAAATTTTCATTTCGTGGTAAGCTGCTGGAAGACATCTTACCCAGGTATGGTTTTCCTGCTATGATAGGATCCGACAATGGACCAGCATTTATTTCACAGGTAACGCAGGTAGTAGCCAGGGCTATTGGGGAAAATTGGAAATTCTTATAGGCCCCAGAGTTCAGGGCAGGTAGAAAGGATGAACAGAACTCTAAAGGAGACCCTTACCAAATTAACCATGGAGACTGGCGGGCACTGGGTGGCTCTCCTACTGTATGCCCTTTACCGGGTAAGGAACTCCCCTTACACTCTGGGCTTTACTCCCTATGAAATCATGTTTGGCAGGCCACCCCCTATCATTCCTAACCCTGCCTGTGACTGTGTTTTGTTTGACTTGCTGTTTTCAATTGTTTGTTGGAATCCTCATGGAGGAGGCCTGGTAGCTGCTCTGCCACAAAGGGAACTGGTGGAAAGACAGGAGAGCAGAGCGCTGTGGCTGATGGGCAGGGTTAAGAAAGGGGCACTCTCCCTGGACATGGAAACCATCGGGACTTTGAAGTTCTCCAAGAAGAGGAGGAGTCTGACTCAGAGACTGGCCGAAACCTTGTTGGGTTAGGAGAACCAGAGGCTGTGTATTGAACTTATAGACTGAAGTTTGCTGGGCAGAGGTCCAAACCCAGTGGTATAGGGGTTAAGCTACCTGTGTACAGCAAAACAACTTTCTCCTGTGCCAGAATACATTTTAAGGAAATTTGACAGACTATGTTTATCACTAGAAAGAAAAACTGGCCATAGTGCACAGTCCAGACAGTGACCTGCAGAAAACTGTATACATCTTCATGGACATAGCTCCAAAGAGACAAGGACGATGTTGCTTTATATAGGAAGGTCAAGAGTAGACTTTAGTCACCTCCCTAAAATGTTTGTATATCCCTACCATATCTCATGTTTAGTAACAGAAGATTTAGCTGCCTGAAGCGGCCATGGTGCCAATATCATGTTTCATTGTATTAATATGTTATATTAATCTTCAATTCTCTTACAGGTTTAAATGTAGCTATATCTGTGGACCGGTGATAGTCTACAGTCCTTGGTAGTCTTTGGGAATAACTGGCAAGTGTCCAGTCTCCCACACTGAGGGACATTGTTATAGCTATGTATTAGCTGTCCTGGAAGGTGGTCAGTTACCATTCTTGTTGTGTTTAAGTTGTTAAAACTGAAATGTTTTCTTTCCCTTCAACCGGACCATTTGTTATAGTTTGTCTCTACCAGGTCACAAGCCCAGCTCCTTCTGTGCCCAGGACAGCAGGGAGCCTGAGTGGAAGATGACCTCTAACCAGACACACCCGCTGCAGATCACCCTCTGGAGGACAGCAGACCTCGCCAGACCCCTTGTAATCCTCCTAATGCTGTTGACTTTCAGCCCTTGCATTATTAACAGACTAGTCCAATTTGTCAAGAAGCTTATAGGGGTGGTTCAGTTGATAGTTCTGTGCGCCTAGTACAGGCCTCTACCAACGATGAAATAGAAATGCAGTCTGTCTCATGAAAGGGCGAGGGCTATGCCCTCCATCTTGCCCCAGGGTAAAGGCTACGCCCTCCATCTTACCCTAGATCCTCCATTTTTGGGCAGCCATGTGCTTGGCAAGGAGCTTCTTCCCGGAAGCCCAAGCCTTTGCTAGCCACACCCAGGATTTCTTTAAACTAACCAATGAAAGTGCGCACCATAGATATGACCACATCCTGTGTAACAAGACACTGACTTGCACCCGGCCAATTGGCAGGGCCCACAGTCCTCTCTCCTCCCCTTACTCCACCCCCCTATAAAACCCCTCTTCGCACAGGGCTAGCTCTCTCTCTGCAGCTTGCTGCTGCGTTGGTGAGTGTGGTCGGGGAGCTGAGCTAGCTTGAATAAAGACTCTTTGCTTTTGCATTGGACTCAGCTGGCTTCCTGGTGGTCTTTTGGGGATCTTGAAATCTGGGCATAACACTCACGAGGGCAAAGTTTACCAGCCCAGTGGCCTCGGGAGCACCTTCCATCTAGGGGTCATCACACACCACACAGGCTTGCAAGGCCGAAGTACACAAAGCCACAGGAGGAGCAGCCATGCCCCTGAGGGCCCCATGCAGATTGTCCTAGAATATGTGAGCATGCCACTGCTAGAGGCATTTCTCTGTAGGATGGCAACCCGTGCCCTGGCTGGCCCCTGGATGGGAAGCTTTGGTTCTGAGAGTCTCCTGGCTACACAGCAGTGTCGGCGCCTGGGGGGGAAGGCAGTGCTTGCCTTCAGGGAGGTGGCCGGAGGGAACTGCTGCTGGGAAGTGTGCGACCTGCTTCCTGGCTAGGGAGGGATCGCTTTTGTAATTCTTCTGTGAGGCAGTAAGAGGAACAGGTGGTTTCTAATTATTCCGTGAAAGGTTCCACTTACAGCCACTGAATCCAGCCTGTCAGCTACATTCTCACGTTTTCTGTCCTCACTAACTGTTCTTGTTTCAGACCAGTGGTTCTCAACCTTGGCTGCACATTAGGATCACCTGGGAATCTTTTTAAAATCCTGATTCCTGGGCCTCATCCTCCGGAAATTCTGTTTCTTTGTTACTAATGTTGTGGCCCCACCCCATAACAAAGATGGTGTTTTTGCTGATTTCTCTTCCTTGTATTCATTTTTGCTATATGAGTTTCTCTGATTTATTATAAGCATTTTATTAAGTGCATACCACATAGAATTGGGATATATTAATGGGGAATTGAAACTTTTAGTGTTATATGGTGACATTCTTTTTCCTAAAATTACTTTTGTTTTAAAGTTTATTGGACTGATATTGACAATCTCTTTTGGTTGGTGAATTTGGTCCATTGTTTTTTGACTGATTCTGTTTTATAGTTTTCTGATCCTATTGTCTCTTGTCCAGAGGAAGACGCTGTCCTTGTTTCTGTTCCCAGTGGTGAGCGGCCTCAGCACACACAGCTGTTTGGTAGACTTTGCGATCCTTCTTACAATTTTGCAATAATTGAAAGCAGTTGTGATCACAAATTATCTAGAAATGTAACAAGTAATCACTAACAACAAACATTACAAGTAATGGAGCTTGTTGAGTTTTAGGGATGGGCCCTGTGGACATGTGGCTTATGCCATGGCTGGGATCAGAAGTCCGATGTTAGCGCACTTTCGCCCAGCAGAAGGAGTTCCGGTGCAGCTCTGTACTAGCTTGCTGATTCAGGCTCTGGCATGAATTATACACTCACTTTTAGGCAATATTTACTAGAGTTGGTACCTTACTCAGTTTCCTATATAAATTATTTATAATAAACTAAATACCTACTTAAGTTAATTCACATGCTAAAGGGAATTACTTATAGATCTGGCTGTAAACTTTCATGGGATATTCTGGGTGTTTGTGTGCCTGTGTGTTTGTGTGTCTGTGTGTGTATGTAGGTGTGCTTTCCTAGTGAGTGGGCCTCTGACTTTAAATTTTTAAAATCAGTTTGGGTTAAAAGTTCAAAATTGTTGGTCTAATCCCTTACACGCGTCCTACACTCTGTAGGTGGCGTGTGAGTGGTGAGGTGTCTCCCTTTGTTTGCGGTATCTGTCACTGCCTTCCTCCTGAGGGCCGCGTGGGCTGCCCAACAGAGCCACGCTGGGGCTGCTCTTTCCGGCAAGGACGTTGCCTCTAATGTCGTTTCACTGTTGCAGAAAGCGAGTGGAGGGGACTGAGCCAGGCCCTGTGTCTGCCCCCAGGGAGTCTCACGGTGAGTACCCTGGTGCCATCACTGAGTCCCAACTGCTCCCTGACACTGTCAGATGACCTCTTTCTCCTGGGGTCCTGCCTGTCTAATCATCAAGTTGAACAGAGTCCTTGTGACTCTCTGAGTGTTTGAGTGAGTGGTCATTGCTGACCCATAACCTATAAAATCCTTCGGTGGTCAACTAATGAGCCCTCCCCTGCCCTGCAAACAACTGACACAGTTCACTCCTAAAGATCCGCACTGAGTGACCCAACGTTACCTGGCCCTCAGCTGTCTGAGGCAGAGGCTTCCAAACTTGTTTGGTCATGATGCAGAATAAGAAATGCACTTCCTGGGTCAGCACAGGATGCGCACGCACATGTGCACATATGCACGCACATGTGTGCGCACATGGACACATGCATGCATACACATATACTTACACACACACATGCACACACATATGCACCCCTACTAGATATGACAGACTCTGATATTTCCTATTCTGTCCTCCTCTACTTGACCTTCTTTCATGGAAGATATCCCATTAAAGCGTTTTCACTGCCCACTGATTGTGACTTACAGTTGTGACTTACAGTTTCAAAAACACTGGCTTTACAAGACTCTTACACTGAAACAGAAAGTTAAGAAGGCAATAAAAGTTTCCTTCAAAATGAAAACTCACATGTTTCCTTCACCATTGTACACCCATCTGGTGGTTCCGAAGCCTTGGTGGTCGGAAGCCCAGTAGTAGATGCAGGCATTCACGTGCAGAGCAAACAGCAGGCCGCCCGCCGTCCGAGAGACCCTGTGGAGGACAGCAGAGTGGGCACACGGGCTGTTCCGAGCGCAGCCTGGCTAGCGGTTCCTTCTTCTGACCATTGCTGCCTAGTCTGCTCGCTCCAAATCTGGGCGTTAACTCCCAGGCGGCAGTGTGACAGGATGGAGCCAGGCACGTTCTCTGACTGCGGTGTCCTGACGAGCACTGACAGAGTAAAAACCTCCCTCTCTTTCTGCAGATGCTATGGATCTGCTCCCTAAAGATGTGCCCCAGGGCCACCTAGAGTCCCATGAAGTAGCCATGCTGACTTAACCTCGGGAGAGCTTGCCGGCTTCCTGCTATGATTATGTGGCTGGAGGTCTCCATGCACCGGAGCATCAGCAGAGCAAATAGACGAAACTTGGCTGAGAATGAGTTGTCTGAGGGAGACGGGAGGTCAGCCTGTGACCGAGCAGCTATTTGTACCTGTTCTGGAAGCCGGGAATTTGGCCTATGTTTTTAGTCCTAGTTGACAAAAACAGTTATCAGACTCTGGTGTGAATTACACCCTCACTTTTAGGCAGTATGATTTCCATACTCTCATATCACTTCAGAATATATATTCAAGTCTGTTTTAGAACACAACCTGACATGTTAAGTGGCCAAAATCCAAGATGATCCCTTCTCTTTGCAGGAGGTCACATTCCTCCATCTGATGGGCAGCTCACGCGGCCCTCGGGAGGAAGGCAATGACCGATACCGCAAACAAAGGGAGTCACCTCACCGCTCTATGAAGCTAAGAGTTATATAAAATATTTATGTCTTTGGAACAGGTAATGCACTTACACACTCCTCCTTTACTACCTGAGCGCGCCTGTAGATATACACCCTGTCCATGATCAATTCCGCCATACCTGTAGATATACGCCCTGTCCATGATCAATTCCGCCATACCTGTAGATATACGCCCTGTCCATGATCAATTCCACCATACCTGTAGCTATACGCCCTGTCCATGACTGACTCCACCTTACCTGTGGATATACGCCCTGTCCATGATCAATTCCGCCATACCTGTAGATATACGCCCTGTCCATGACTGACTCTGCCTTACCTGTGGATATACGCCCTGTCCATGGTTGACCCCATCTTACCTGTAGATATACGCTCTGTTCATAATCGATTCCAGGCGGTGATTAAACTCAAAGAATGACCTGTACTATATAGAAAACAAGCAGAGGAAATCCCAAAGTGTGTTAGTCTTAATGATATTTATTTAAATAAAACTATATGACACACATTTTTTTGTCATTCAAAATAATTCTATCTACATATATTAAAAAAAAACTAGCATTTGTTCAGTGGATTTTCCTCTAGGGTCACCTAGCATAGTGCCTAACCAACTTCCACAGCTCCTGGTTCATTGGACTTCCACCCTCTAGTTAGTCTTGTTCCTAATGCTAATGAAAATCAAGCTTAAAAGCATTTTTCCTGTTTCTTTATAAAGCACAGAGTAGAACTCTGTTTTACAAGAATTAAAATCACACTCCCCTAGAACAGCAAACTCATTAGTCAACAGAGCCAAATATCAACAGTACAAGGATTGGAATTTCTTTTGAAAGCTAAATTTTTTAAACTTAAACTATATAGGTAGGTACATTATTATTAACTTAATTAGGGTACTCCTAAGCTGGCCTTTGCTAAAAACGTCCTCAATCTGATTGAGGTACGTTCCCTGAGGTCGACCCCTTCCAACTCTCCCATCCACACTCGTCTTGTATACTTGTTACGTCTATCTCCTTTCGTTCATCCTCTCTATATGTCCAAACCATCTCAACATACCTTTCTCAATCCTCGACACTACATCTTCTTTCACTCCACAACGTTCCCTAAAATTAACTTAATGAACTTTACTTAAAGTTTTAAGTCTTAGTTAAACTATAGGTACATTGAGTAAAACTTGATATCATACTTAGTAATGATATTATTTATTGATAAAATTAAATCCGTTACAATTTACCTTACAATATCCATAAAATTAAATCATGACAATGACTGACAAACACTAATGTGAACAATGGCCTTGCATCTCCTTGGAAAGTTTGGGTAAGTCAGGTTTGTATGTTGTTGTTTTTAATTTTAGGCATGATTCCAGGTTCTCATCAATAAGACCGACTTCTCAATTTACTCTTGATAAGATTCATGCTTGAAAATGATTGTTCGCATAAATATGTAGACCCGAATAAGGAAAGAACAGCAAACGCTAGTTTTTCAGTTGATTATATGAGTCAGGAATACTATTCCAGGTGTTAAAAATCAACATATCTTCCTTCTCCAGGTCTTTCAAAGCAGACCACTTGTGCTGTGAACTAAGTTCACATTTGATTTTCTCCAATATTTCTATATCAGCACAAAGACGTTCAAATTTCGAGCTCCACAGTTCTTTGTTTTTTAAATCCAGCAATTGCATTTCAAAGTTGCCAATGTCAATATTAAAGGGAGAAAAATTTAATTCTGTTACAGTAGCACTGAGAGGTTTTTTAGCAAAGGCTAAAAAAAAAAAGAAAAGCTTCCCTCATATTTAAAATACCGCACGTGGTATTTTGTGGAAGAGCCACACTCAAGGGGCCAAAGAGCCGCATGTGGCTCGAGAGCCGAGGTTTGCTGACCACTGCCCTAGAACATCAGTGAAAGAGGAAGAGGATACACATTGAAATCATAAATAGATGCTGATCCCAAGGCTCAGGGCTAGCACTGCTCCTAAACAGGTTCCATTAAATGTGTTTAATTTCAACAAAATTTCAAGTCCAATAAATATTAGCATCAGTTACCAATTCATGACATTGTTTAAAGAGAGAGCGAGTTTACACACGTCAAATCCAAACAGAGTGGCTATTTCCCTTGAGGTTCTTTCCTGCTTCCATCTATTTCTACCTCAACGCACTCGCCCTACACGCACTCCTCATCCACCTCCTCCTTTACTACCCGAGGCAGAGGAATGCAGGAGTCAGACTTCGCCTCTGCCCTCTGCTAACCGTGTGACCTTGGAAAAGTCACCTAACATTTCTGTGCCTCAGTTTCCTCATCTGTAAAATGGGACAATAAAAGAACATGTCTCTTGAAGGGGTTGTGTGCATATCCAGTTAATGTATTTAATTATTTACTTTGCTGAGAATCACAGGATCCTATAGCTAGGAGGGACTATTAGGGGTTATTTAGTTTGAAGATTATTTAGTTCAAAATTTCATCCAATGTATATCTGACTATAGTAGAACATTTGGAATTAAAAAACAGACATAATAGTAATGACTCTTTAACTAGAAATATACACAAATGGTTTGTTTTCCCAGAACTGCTGAGTAGGAAAAATCCCTCAAACATTCAGATTAAGATAATTTCAATTGGTGGTAAATTGTTTATGGCGCTCTTAACAGAAGTTTGCACAAAGACGTGGTTTAAAAGTTAGTTTAAGTGATCACTGCAGTGAAAATTTATATTCTTAGTGTTTCTCAACTGGAGACAGATAAACAATATTTTTCCCAGAGAACTGTGCATCAGAATGACTCACTTATATGTGAAATGACTGGAGCATGGGGCTACAGAAAAAAGACCAGTGCTGACTTTCAGAATGTCCTACATTAAAAAAGCTTTTGAATACGGACGGATTTTGGATCCCTTAGGGACACAGGGATGGGTGGGAAGCGCTGGCACTTTACACACTTTTATTGCACTGCCAGCCGAACTCCCAAACACATGGCCTGCGTGTCTGAACATTGGTCACCTCTGAACAGGAGCTTCCTGATACTCTCACCTGAGAAGGGAAAGGGATGGCCTGCCCGCCTGGTGCTGGGCGTGAGGCATCGGCCCCTCTCCACTGGAGAGACCATGGGCCTGGAGGTGGAGTCTGGTCGGGAAGCCTGAGAGGAGCCCAGGTCCCCCGCTCAGCACAGCACTGGGGACAGACTGTTCCACCCGCTAGTTCTCATTTCCTCGCCGCTACAACGAAGTCATTTGGAAGAACCAGCAGGTAATGAATATCCAGGTTAACGAAGCAGAGCCCCAAGTATCTGCAACCGCATCTGCCACGGCTGCTGTGTGCTGGCACCAGCATCCGCGCAAGCCCCACCGAGGTCTACACAACCTCTGGCCTTCCTCGTAAGAGGCTGTCTTTGGAAATAGCTATTCTTGCTATGGCTAATGATTTACACCAAATTCCAGACCCTGACTCTCCCCATATTTGTGTTAGTTACCCTATGAAGCTAAGAGTTATAAAATATTTATGTCTTAGAATCTTTAAAACAGGTAATGCACTTACACACTCAAACAGTAGCAAGTACATTCCTTCATGAATCCATCCCCGTTCCCCCGCCTCCCACCCCGCCTGTTAACATTTTCACTAGATTTTTCTGTAGCCTTCCACTGTTTCCATGTACTCAGAAAAACGGCATATTTTCACTTTCTGTTTTACGGAACTTAGTATTGTTATATACACTGTTCTGTAACTAGCTTGTTTTTCACTCAGCAATTTATCTTGGCGGTCTTTTCATACCAGTTCATGGAAAACTTCCTCTTTATTTATTTACTAGAGGAAATAGTAAATAGCACTCGGGGGGGGGGGGGGGGAGGGGAGTCCCTCAGTCCAGCCTGTGCCCTCTCGCAGTCTGGGACCCCTCGGGAGATAACGACCTGCTGGCTTAGGCCTGCTCCCGGGTGGCAGAGGGCAGGCCCAATCCCTAGGTGCAGCCACTGGTCAGGCTCAGAGCAGGGCCGATTGGGGAGTTGGGGCACCGCCCCCTGTCATGCACAGAGCAGGGCGGATTGGGAGGTTGTGATGCCACCCTCAGTCATGCTCAGGGTAGGGCCGATTAGGGGGTTGGGGCACTGCCCCCTGTCACACTCAAGGCAGGGTTGATGGGGAGGTTGTGGCGCCACCCCCTGTCACCCACAGAGCAGGGCCAATCAGGGGGTTGGGGCGCTGCCCCCTGTCACGCACAGAGCAGGGCCCATCAGGGGTTTGGGGCTCCGTACCCTGTCACGCACAGAGCAGGGCCCATCAGGGGGTTGGGGAGCTCCCTCCTGTCACTCACAGAGTAGGGCCGATAGGGGAGTTGGGGCACCGCCCCCTGTCACACACAGAGCAGGGCAGATCAGGGGTTGGAGCACCGCCCCCTATCACCCACAGAACAGGGGGTTGGGCGCCGCCACTGTCACACTCAGGGCAGGGCTGATGGGGAGGTTATGGCTCTACCCCATCACACACAGAACAGGGCCAGTGGGGGGGGGCGGGTTTGGGGCGCGGTACCCTGTCACACACAGAGCAGGGCTGATCAGGGGGTTGGGGCGCCTTCCCCTGTCACGAACAGAGCAGGGCGGATAGGGAGGTTGTGGCCCCGCCCCCAGTAACACACAGAGCCACAGGGCGATCAGGGGGTTGGGGAGCTCCCCCCTATAAGGCACAGAGCAGGGCCGATCAGGGGGTTGGGGCGCCACCCCCTGTCACACACAGAGCAGGGCCCGTGGGGGGAGGGGTTGGGGCGCTGCCCCCTGTCACACACAGAGCTGCAGGGCGATCAGGGAGTTGGGGAGCTCCCCCCTATCAGGCACAGAGCAGGGCGGATAGGGAGGTTGTGGCCCCGCCCCCTGTCACACACAGAGCCGCAGGGTGATCAGCGGGTTTGGGCTCTGCCCCCTGTCACGCTGATCCCAGTGCCAGGAGGCCTCGCGGCTCCACTGATCCCGGTGCAGGGAGGCATATTACCCTTTTACTATATAGGATAGAGGCCTGGTACATGGGTTGGGGCTGGCTGGTTTTCCCTGAAGGGTGTCCTGGATCAGGGTGGGGTGCCTGGCCAGCTTGGATGAGGGGATTATGGCTGTTTGCAGCTGGTCACACACCCTTCAGGGTGGGGGTCCCCACTGGGGTGCCTGGCCAGCCTGGGTGAGGGGCTGAGGGCTGTTTACAGGCTGGCGGGTGACTGAAGCTCCCAACTGCTCCTTTTTTTCTTTTTCTTTTTTTATTCTGGGTCAGCTTTAGCTCTGGCTCCAGCTCTGAGGCCTCTGCTGCTGAAAGCAGGTATCTGGTTTGTTTGGGTTCTATAATCAAAACACTGTAACAACTCCAGCTCTGAGATCCCAGCTGGCTGAAAGCAGGTTTCTGGGGTTTTGTTTAGCTTCTATATTAGTAACTATGTTTCAAACTGCAAGCTCAGAGGCTGGCAAGGCAGGCGGGGAACGTTGGTTTCCTCCGTCACTGAAGCAAGCAAGCCTCATGTTAGTTTCAAGCTGCCTAGCTGCCAGCCGCCATCTTGGCTGGCAGTTAATTTGCATATCTCCTTGATTAGCCAATGGGAAGGGTAGCGGTCGTACGCTAATTACCATGTTTCTCTTTTATTAGATAGGACTAGAGGCCCGGAGCACAAAAATTAGTGCACTCAGGGGGGAGGGGATTCCCTCAGTCCAGCCTGTGCCCTCTCTCAGTCTGGGACCCCTCAGGAGATAATGACCTGCTGGCTTAGGCCTGCTCCCGGGTGGCAGAGGGCAGGCCCAATCCCTAGGTGCAGCCCCTGGTCGGGCTCAGAGCAGGGCCGATTGGGGAGTTGGGGCACCGCCCCCTGTCATGCACAGAGCAGGGTGGATTGGGAGGTTGGGGTGCTGCCCCCTGTCAAGCACAGAGCAGGGCCCATCAGGGGGTTTGGGGCTCCGTACCCTGTCACGCACAGAGCAGGGCCCATCAGGGGGTTGGGGAGCTCCCCCCTTTCACGCACAGAGCAGGGATGATCAGGGGGTTGAGGAGCTCCCCCCTGTCACTCACAGAGTAGGGCCGATAGGGGAGTTGGGGCACTGCCCCCTGTCACACACAGAGCAGGGCGGATCAGGGGGTTGGGGCGCCTTCCCCTGTCACGAACAGAGCAGGGCAGATAGGGAGGTTGTGGCCCTGCCCCCAGTAACACACAGAGCCACAGGGCGATCAGGGGGTTTGAGCGCTGCCCCCTGTCACACTGATCCCAGTGCTGGGAGGCCTCTCAGCTCCGCTGATCCCGGTGCTGGGAAGCATATTATCCTTTTACTATATAGGATAGAGGCCTGGTGCATGGGTGGGGGCCGGCGGTTTGCCCTGAAGGGTGTCCTGGATCAGGGTGGGGGTCCCCACTGGGGTGCCTGGCCAGCCTGGGTGAGGGGATGATGGCTGTTTGCAGCTGGCCACACACCCTTCAGGGTGGGGGTCCCCACTGGGGTGCCTGGCCATTCTGGGTGAGGGGCTGAGGGCTGTTTTCAGGCTGGCGGGTGACTGAAGCTCCCAACTGCTCCTTTTTTTTTTTCTTTCTTTTTTTTTTTTATTCTGGGCCAGCTTTAGCTCTGGCTCCAGCTCTGAGGCCTCTGCTGCTGAAAGCAGGTATCTGGTTTGTTTGGGTTCTATAATCGAAACACTGTAACAACTCCAGCTCTGAGATCCTGGTGGGCTGAAAGCAGGTTTCTGGGGTTTTGTTTAGCTTCTATATTTGTAACAATGTTTCAAACTGCAAGCTCAGAGGCTGGCAAGGCAGGCGGGGAACGTTGGATTCCTCCTTTACTGAAGCAAGCAAGCCTCATTTTAGCTTCAAGCTGCCTGGCTGCCGGCTGCCATCTTGGCTGGCAGTTAATTTGCATATCTCCTTGATTAGCCAATGGGAAGGGTAGCGGTCGTAAGCTAATTACCATGTTTCTCTTTGGATTTTTGCATTACAATGTGTGTTCTATTATATAGATATACCACAATTTATTTAACTAGTTCCCCGTTAAAGGACATTTGAGCTGTCCCAGTGTTATGTAAATAATTTTGTATGGGAAAGTATGTCTGCATTTTTCTGGGATTACAGAATTTTGGGTGAGTACAAGAGCTGGGAGGTTTGTCTGATTGGACTCTCTCCTTTCACAGCAAGTACTCCAGGCATTCAGTGACTGTCTAAGCAAAAAGGACGAATGGAAAAGAATAAAATTATGAGACTCATTTGTAACTATAGTTGTGTGTAGAAGACCAAAGCATTCCTGTTCCGGTTATAAAACACCTGCTATGAGATACAGAATGAAAACAGCAAGAGCAGCTCCCAGCAGTGGATGCAATGATGTTTTCCCTTCACTGAGTTTTTAAAATTCATAGCAGTGATGAGGACAGAAAAACGGAGGACAGTTTGGGTAAAGGAAGAACATTGTACTTTTAGGATCTTTAAATCACTTCAAGATTCCCATAATTAACACCAGACAATTACAAGTAAGAACATCAATAGAGATAGCTCACCTTCAATATCCTGTTTATCCTGAATATTGGATTAAAGCCAAAGAAGAGGCCGAACACATCCAATGGGATCACTGACGCCACATCCAGCTGTTGGGAGAACACGGGTCGGTTATGTCGTGTCCACGTGCTTTTTGGACGTGGATTATGTCCACGTGTGTAGAAGCTGACAGCCACCATCACCGTTCTGTGTGCTTAACACAAAACTGCCTGCAGTTAAACACGTGGTGCCGCTGGAAGCAACAGCCCATGGAGACAAGGTGGCTATGCTGCAGCCCACGCAGGTGCTCCATTCCCCTCGCCCTCTGAGCCCTCCCTGGGGGCCGCACCCTCTGAGCTCGCAGGAAGCCTGCACCCGCGCAGGTCTTGCGGAGGTGGCGTGGTTACTGATGCGGGACTACACTTTACCAGTTTCAAACACGGGGCTCCGGGACTGAAAAGCAAGTCTGTTCCTGATTTTACTTGAAAGCCGTGCACACTCCCTGCACTGACATCTTTCTGTTCCAGCCAGTTGTGCGGTGCTCACGCTGATGACGGTGCGGGCCCAGGCGGCCGCCTCCGTGCGTCCTGCCTGTCTACCTGGGATCACACGGGGCCCGGGAGCTGAGCGCCGGGCTGTGCGGAGCAGGAGGAGGAATGGGGCGGTTTCCAGCCACCGGCGTGGCGGCGGGAGAGGGCGTTGCAGTGCGGGTCACCGGACACGTGCAGCTTGGGTCTGTCCTGTGTTTGTATGCCCTGGCCTCCCACCCTGGCAATGCTGAATGACAGCATCATTCCTGAGGGCCTGCCTGATCGCACAATGACACACTTCTCTACGTAAGAGAATCATTCGCTTTCATTAGTTTTTACGTGACACTGAAAAGTGGGTACATTAAAACAGTTATTTATTTAAGACAATTAAGGGCAGGGAAAAGCGTCCTGTGGGGCCACCGTATGGAAGGGGAGGCGCTGAGCTGGGCCAGCATTTCAGGGCGGCTGTGCTCCCCAAGAGCAGAGGCACTTCCGGTTCGCGTGGACCCGACGGGCTATTAGAAACCAGTTACTGACAGTTCTGGTTTGCAAAGGCATCGTATCATCAAACCCTGGGCTTTACCCGCAGAGGCTGAGCCTCAGGACCAGCTGCGGGTGAAGGAGCAGCTGCTAACATCTCCCCAGTGAGAAAGGCGGCCCTGCCCCAGCTGCTGTGCCTTCTGGTTCAGATCATATGAATCTTTTTTAAAAAATATGCTTTTACTGATTTCAGAGAGGAAGGGAAAGGGGGAGAGAGAAACATCAATGATGAGAGAGAATCATTTATCACTTGCCCCCTGTATGCCCCACACTGTGGATGGAGCCCACAACCCAGCCATGTGCCCTGACCAGGAATCAAACCCTGACCTCCTGGTCCATAGGTCAATGCTCACCACTGAACCACACTAGCCGGGCCATAATCATCTTTTTTTTTGTTTTTTAACCTGTAAAAATCCGATCTGTCTGCATGAAGCTCTTTTACTCACTATCCACCTGCCCACCTGACTTCTCTCAGCAGCCAGGCCCTAGTCCTGGTCGATGTTGACATGTGTGGGGAGTCGTGTGATGACTCACTTCTCGATGATGTGAACTGAGTGGTATTGACCAGCACTGTGCGCTGTGCACAGCACCTGCAAAGCCCGGGTGACCAGGCTGAGATGCTTGTCTGTCCTCAGAAGCTACCAGGCCGCGAGTGCAGCCACCAAGCACACAGGTGCCTCTACTCCGTGCCCAGTGAGCAGGGAGGGCTCAGGGCAGGCGAAAGCAGGAGCAACCACAACTAAAGAAACGCAACAATTTATCGTTATCAACCCAATTAAATACGAGTCAATTTCCCCTCATCACAGTCACGACAGTGATGAGTGTGGAGTGAGCTTGGGGCACTTAGAGAGGGGACGGTCCTCTTGGTAGAGTGCAGCCACGTGGAGCAGCTTTTTAACGAGTGTGTCTGAGCGGGCGGCCTTGTTTACAAAGAAAATGAGCTGGAGATAAAAACACATGGAAAGGTGTTTTTATCACCATACATCACCAGGTGGGACGATTTGGCACCCAAACCCAGATTTGTACTCCTTTTCAAACAAAATTTGAGGCCACTAAAGTGCTGTCCTTGAAATGGGAGGTTGGAGTTCACTCCTCCAGATTGGGTGACATTGGGTGACCCCCAAATCCCTGCCTGTGTGTCACAGTGAGGGGGAACTGATGGGAGGTAACCAGCGCTTGGCTGTACATGATTGCGGGTGAAAAACAAGATTATGCCGCCATTGGAGGAAAGGCAGAGGCCATGCCGTGTCACTTAGCTACTCGCCTCTCTTCTATTTCTTATTTTCATACAGAACAAGAACGAAAGAGGAGCAGAAGCAGCTGTGTAGGCTCTTACGTCATCATGGCACATGAATGAGGCCAGCACTCAGTGCCGGCAGAACAGAGCTCAGCCACACTCCCTTGCTGTCGTCGAACTCAGAGAGTCAGTGTGGCCCTAACCTTCTGTTCTGTGGATAAAGACGCACATGTGGAGCGACACATCTGCACCCTGGGGAGCCACCGCGGCCGCCCCTGTCGGATAAACCTCACCTGTGCAAACTGTTCCCAAGGCTACAGTTGTGAAAGAAGCAGGTTTTCGGGTAGAAATGTATGGTGGGACTTAAAAGTAAAATGGCAGTGGGTTGCTTGAATAATTTTGAGGTTGTAAGTCACCTACCTGAAATTTTGTAGAACTCCTGTAGTGCTTTGCTAGCTCATGGGGATCCATCTGAAATATATTTATATTTCACATTAATTTTACCTGTTTTAATAAACGATTTTCTCACTTTAAAAATGCTGTTTCTTCAGTTTCTAATGCAATGTCTAACACATAGTGGATGCTCTCAGTAAATGTGTGGCAAGTGATAAAGGAGTAGGATAGCGTTTGTTAACATTCAGACCTAAAGGAACTAAGGCTAACATTGAACTTGGATCCTCACATTTAGTTAAGGCAGGAAGGACTTGTCTATGTGCTAGTAATTATCGGGCAAAGCATGATGACTGGGACACACGGAAGCGGCCTCTTCTACCATGGACCGCCGGGCTGGCCCTGCTCAGGGCCTGCACTGCTGCTGAGGACGTCCAAGTCACTCCCATCCCCTGCCCTCCCTCTTTGGCTAGAATTACCCATGTACACATCCTAATGTTACAGACATACATCCGAAAATATATAAGACATGCTTGTTTAATGATTTTTACTGTGTAAAACGGCTCACTGAGCCACAGGTCGGCATCCACAGAGGCTACGCTGAACCCTGGGCCAAGCTTAGGACCAACCCGTCAGCACCTTCGAAGCTTAAGCGGGGGCAGACAGATTCACTGCCAGTGCTAAGGAACTGAGGTACATTACCCTCCTACCCCCGGGAGAATGGGTTTAGCCCATTCATGCCTTTCCTCTCAGGGTTGTCTATGCTCCTGTCATAGAAAAGTGTAAATGAGACTGCAACTTGGTACATTGAATGGAAATGCCATCTAGTGATTCTAAGTCGCTCTCCTCTGGAGCCCTAAGTGTGGCTTCGTTAGTTTTATGAGGATCAGCTTACCGGTTACAACAGGCACTTGTTTTTAAAATGTTGCCGTTTAATTCTCTCTCTTCCCAGCCTCAGCAGTCTGCAGCACATTTCCCCAGGGAGGCTTACTTTGGGAAGGGTATGCTACTGCATCTAAACTCTTTTTGAATGTGCCCAGGTATTATTATAGCTACTTATTATTTACCTCTTCTCACAAACAATCCGTAAAAATGCAATAGTTTCACATTGAACAGATAGATGTGTTTCAAAAATAAGAATGCCATCTGCAACAACTTCAGTGCAGATGGAATGATGATTCAAGGAAAGAAAGTCCTGGAACCAAGGTTGCCATCCATTGACCTCTCCACCATCTTTCCCGCAGACTCTGCGATCCCAAGAGAGGGGCTGGACACTGCCTGCTCTCAAAGACCTCTCATCAGGAAAGAGCGAGAGCGAGATGCACAGCCAGGAGACAAGAGGGAGCAGCAAGTGTGCGGATGTCCTCCATCTGATCTGTCAGCAACTTAATGTGCATCTTCTAGACGCCAGGCCCCGGCACAGGTGCACACGCCGTCTTCTCTGACCTTCACAGGGATTTGTGAGTGGAGTCCTATTATTCCCATTTTATGGATGAAAAGGATGGTGTTCAATGAAAGGGTACATTTATTTTCTTCAAGTAACACAGTAAGTTTCAGAGATGCAGCTTCACTTGTTTGCTTCTACTTCATCACAGTTAGCCTAGTTGTTATTTAACAAAGAAGTAAGGGAAGTCTGAGTAACGTCCTTAGTGCACTGAGCAGGGAGTGGTTGCTTTGCTCCCTGGTGGGTCAGTTTATAAGCAGTGGCTCAGAGGCGGTATCTCCCGCAGGCCTGCCGGACGCTGTCACCGGAGGCACTGAGTGTGTCCCTGGTCTATGCAAAGTACTGCAGGCATGAGAGTTCCTAGCCACCATCCCACTGTGACTTCCGCCCCACCACTGCTGTCCATAATGGAAAGGAGGGAGGAGCGTTTGCTGGTCCCTCATTACCATGCTGCTCTCTCATTAGCATGCTGCTGTCTATTAGGCAGCACCACTGTTGAAGATACTCTACAGGATGGAAAGCCTGTGCGCTCCCCCCAACCCCCCCCAGCTCCCTCTACTGGGACCTTCAGCACCTCAAGCTGTTTTTTTGCTATTTTTCTGTTTCCTCTCAAGGCCCCAGGGAATTCATATTTCCATCCTCCAGCCCTGGAATGCCTGGCAATTGTGGGTGTTTGATAAACGTTTGCTGCATGCATGAATGAGTGAGTGAAGGAAGGAATGAATGAGTGGATGAGAGAATGATCTGCCTGTCCACCAAAGGTAGTAAGACCCTCAGGTCGGGTGCTCAACTCACACGCATCTTTCTTTCCAGAGTGTAATCAAGTCTCAAAGGCGAAAACGACCTGCCCTAAATTAAAGAAACCATTACATGTCTTTCGAACAAACAAGGCAATTCATCTCTGTTCTACATTTGTAGTTGGTGATAATGTATTTTACATAGAGCCTATTGAGTGTGTTTTCATTGGTTATTTTTCCTGGTTTTAACAGTCCATTGTGTGCAAAGGCCTCCTAGAAAATGGAAAATAAATGTCTCTCCTTACTGATTCTGTCATTTTCATTTGTCAAACATTGATTTTCTCCCCCTTGTGCATCTAATGGAGGTTGAAATGAGCTCGTGTGTGCTGTTTACTTCCCATTTGTCCACCAGCATCATCGTTCATCACGCGGCTCGAGCCTGGGCAGGCGCGAGCGCTGAGGCCTGACTTCCGCAGGAGTGGTGCTGTGAATACATTTTTGCTACAGCGTCAGCTCTGGCCTTTAGAATTCCTTTCTAGGAGAGATTTCAAGTATAGGAGGCACTCTACAGCAAATAACATTTTAAAAATCACCAAAATCAGTCCTTCCAGCTTTCTGGTAATTTAAGATCGCCTGGAGATTCAAAAGAGAATATTGAGGAGACTAAGAAACCTACTCTTCTCCCCAAAATACATAAGAGCTCAGTGCCACTCCCTGGTCCTTCTGCTCTCCCTACTGTGAGGGTGGGAGTCTGTTCAGGGCGGGGTGGGTGGGGGCGGGGCCGGAGGCAAGGACGGCGCAGTGGCATTGATTGGAAAGGAAGCTGGAGAGGGCGAGGGGCAGAGGCTGTGGATTGGGTCTGTGCTCATGGGAATGTCTTCTATCTGCCTTAGCTGCCTGGGCGTGCAGTCCCTCAGCGGAACGAGTCCCGGAGACCATTGCCCTAAGAGCAGGCAGCTGGTTGCTGAGTAGGCTCCGCAGTTCTGGTGAGAAATCTGCAAAGTGGAGCGTGAACAGAAGACAGGCCCGGAGATGTCGTATTAATTAAAAGCAGCACCACCCAGGCGTGCGTTCCTGCTGGTGCTTTGCATGGCCCGCAGGGTGGCTTCCTCCTTGGGGTCTGGCTCTCGCGCAGACCTTGATGCTGTGGTTCTCTCCCGACAGCACCAGCAATGGCGCATCTCACATCAGAGGCCTCGCTCTGTGCTATCGGTCAGGCAGCCCCCTCCATCAAGGGTTTTGGGCACTGGAAGGATGGTGGTGTGGCTGAGAAACCAGGATTTTCAATGTCATTTCATCTTAAGTAGAATTTACATTTGAATGGACACATGGCTCGTGGCCAGTGCACTGGACAGTGTGGGAGTCCTCTCTGACTGGAGGGCCAGGGTCCCTCCTTCCTTTTCCAGTCAGGTTGTCCGCAGCGGCCAGGCCACTGGCACCTGGACCTGGCGTGCAGCTGCAGGCCGAGTGCTGGGTGCGCCAGTGATGCGCAGCCGCGTGTCTCTGCAAAGCTCACAGCTGCGGGCTCCCGGGTCGAGCAGCACTGGATGAAGTACCTGCCTGATTTTATTTTATTTTTCCTGCCTGATTTTACAGTGCTGAGGGGAGTGGCAGGCTGTAACGGGCCAGAAGACAGCTGCCTGCCTCGCACCACTTGAGGCTCCAGCACCCGAGTGTTACCCCCTTTGCACGGGCCTGGGTGTTTTGCATCATTTGGGTAAAGCCGCGCGGACGGTTTTGATCTTTCAGACCAGCATCACCTTTGTACCCTCGCGTCCCACTCCACACGGAGGAGCTCCCCGGGCCCAGTGCTGCGCGCAGGGTGGGTCCTGCCGGATCCCTCCTGGGTTTGAGGCCTGAGCAAGTCCCCCCGCCCCCCCTCCCAGCCTCAGTGTCCCCTTGGCCGCAGGCCCGATGACCACGCCTCCTCCTCTGAGTGGCACTTCCCCGCGCAGCCACCCACTCTGCGCAGGCGCTGCCTCCTCCCGTTCCCTAGAGGAGCTGCGGGGGTCGGGGGTGGGGAGGTGCTGGGAGGGAGTTGCTGGGGGTGGGGGGGCTGCTGGGGAGGGCTGCGGTTCCGGGTCCTCACGGCCCCGCCCGGAGCTGACCCCCGCCCCGTGGCCTCCGCCCACTTACTATGACGTCTCCCCCGCGGAGGACGTGCCGCCGGGGCTGCACCAGCAGCGTGTCGCACAGGTAGATGAGGTCGCACACGCCGTCGGCCGCCAGCCAGTAGCGCGCGCTGCGCGGGCTCTGCCACGGGAAGGCCAGGCGCGCGGGGAGCAGCCCGCAGTTCCAGCCGCAGGCGGCGGCCACCAGCAGCAGCCACAGCAGGGAGCGCGGGCCTGGAGGAGCTGCCGCGTGACTGAGGCCCGCTCAGCCCGCAGAGCTGGGGGGCCGGGGGCCGGGGGGGTGGGGGGGGCACGTGCTCCGCCGCACAGCGCCCCCCCCCCCTCCGGCTTTCCCGGGGGCCGGGACCCTATCGGCTCTTCCCACGTGGGACGGAGCGTGGAGTAGGGGCCCCCGGGCGGTGCCCACAGGACGGTGCCCTGAGTCAGGAAGGGGCGCCCAGGGCCGCCATGTGCCCTCACCCGTCCCCTCAGCCCAGAGGGCCTGTGGAGGGACTGGCTCCACGTCCAGCTCCCCAGGCGGAGCCACGAGCCCAGGACGCCTGCGCAGGACGCGGGCAGGGCCGTCAGCGCTCCAGTGGCGGGGCCGCGCTGCCTTTCAGGTGGGCAGGGGCAGAGCCACCTGGCCGGGCCGGGCCCGGGGCTCCCGCTGGGACAGTCCCGGGAGGAGACGCACCTGTGCAGGAGTCGATGCTGCTGGGGAGCCGGGCTCGCTCCCGCGGCGTGGGGCCGCGATGGTCCTGCGCGCACCGCACCGCTGGGGGCTGGGCTTCGTAGGGAAAAAAGGCGCAGTGTTAGGAGGTTACCTTAGCTTCCCCTCCCAATACAGGTCGAGGAGGCAGTGTGTGACACTTAAAATGGTGACGTTCATGAAGAATCCAGGTACTGAAAACACTGGAATTTAGGAATGAACAGCAGGTTTCAAGCTCAGGAATGGGTTGCCCTGGAGCTGTCCCAGGCGGGATGCTTAGAACGCAGGCGGGATTGGTTCTCTTATGTTTTGGAGCGTAAATAGGCAGAGCTTGGATTAAACAGAAAAGGAACATCACGAATGCACGCCATCCCTCAGGTGTTCGTTCCGGCTTCCCCAGTCCCGCACGTGTCCTTCAAGTGATGGACAAATAAAGTTCAAAATATCCCTTTCTGCACGTTTACCAAATTCTAGTGACGCTGTATGCTAGCCTCTTCCCTTTAAGAAACTATGATACGATGCAACCTTCCAGCACAGAACCGCGGGGAAGCTGGCTTCCTCCTGGGAGTTAACAATCTGACTGATTTAACTGCCACCCACAACCACTCTCTCCCGGTCCTTTAAGTGCACAGACCTGGCAGGTATGGGCGTGGCGCGCGGTGGGCGTGGCGCTCTCCTTGATTGCTTGCCTGAGTGTCCGCAGGCACATTTCTGGAATCATTAGGGAGGCTGACCGTGGTCCCCCGCCTCCCGGGATCACAGGATCAGTTTGTCGATGGCCTGCTGGGTGTGTGCTCAGTTTCTGACATGATGGTGTTCTCTGAGCATTTACAGTAACACTTGCTACAGCGAGGCTGTTGCCGGCCTGTGCGTCTACGGGGCGAGGACACTGGTCTGGGCTGGAGGCTTCCTCCCGGTGGCCTGCAGAGCGAGGCGGCGGGACCGCCGCAAGTCTCCGTTGGTGAAGGACCCCAGCTCCATCCTCCTCAGGTAAGTCCTCTGTGTGACCCACAGGTTACAGCTGGCCCCGGTAACCCTCTCATTAGCGCACCCTCATCGGCTCAGCTCCTGGTCTGTCTCCTGCCTGCTCTCACCTCCCTGGGTCACCCTACAGGTCAACTATTGGAACCTAAGTCATTGCGGGTCTGCTTTCGGAGGGACCCAGACTAAGATGCTTGCAACATGCGCATCCCCCGTGACCTCCTCCCAGCGCCTGAGGGCCAGGGCTTACCAGTTGCGGGGCTGGCCTGGGAGGACAGGCCTCCCTCTGCCAGCGCCTCCCGCAGAGGGCAGTCCTGAGCCGCAGCCTTCTCACCAGGCCTCGCAGCTGGGCCGTCGCGCACTCACTTACAGGAGGGGCTCCAGGTGGTTTGCTTTTTGGACTAAATGAGGGAAAAACAGCGACAGAGAAGGGTTCATGAGAAGATCTGTACAGGGGACGGGTGGTGTCTCCTCCCCTTCCTGTATGCCCAATCTGTAACTGAATAGAAGGACTGGAAAACCCAAGCATGAAGTTAATGGAGGCAGGGCAGGTGCAAACAGATGCCCGGCAGGAAAGGAGAAACAGCAGGTGCCATTCCTGCCCACACTGCACCTCCGGGCAGCAAGGCCGCCTGGACCCTGTGGCTGCAAGAGGAGCTTTGGCTGCTGCCCTGCGGGCAGGATTCTAGGGCTGCGTGGTGAACGGTCCTGCGTAGCCCCGGCCGATGCATATGGTGGGGCTCACAAGGGGAAACCAGCCGTGTTCAGGGCTCAGCCCACTGGAAGCTAAAGGGTTATAACCAGGCAGCCTCCTCTAGCAGCAGTTTCTCCAGCTGCCGACGGAGCAGGCAGGCAGGGTTTGGGCGCCAGGGGGATCTTCCTTGCGAGATGCTGCATTCCTGGCTCTGAGGAGGAAAGGGCCTCATAAACTCCGCTGAGGACCCGTCCTACAACCACAGGCACCGCCTCCTGCCAATAACTGGATGAGCCTGCAAGTAGATTGTTCTCATGCCTCCAGGTAAGAGCCAGCTGGCCCTGGCTGACACCCTGGTTTCAGTTGTGAGACCTTCGGCAAGAACCCGGCCAACCCACCAGCCTTCCGACCTATGGAGCTGCGAGCTATTAAATGGGCGCTGTTTTAAGTCACTAAGTCTGTGATAACTTGTGCTTTAATGGATGTCCTTCTAAAAAAAGCAGACAGACAGGCCAGTACAGGTTACAAGGTGTAAGCGAGTGATTGCCTAATGATCTGACTTTCCACACAGGCTTCGTCTCTCTCTCCACCTTCCTCCCAAGGTCTGACCTGGGCCTCCCAGGCCCGCACGGCCTCCATCACTCTCACTCCCTCACACCCACTCCTGCCCTCTCCATCTACTTCCAGCTGGAACTCCTGGGGCTCACGTGAAACCGGGGAACCTGAGGATCCCATTTAAAGAGAAGCCTAGTGTGACCCCCCAGGCCCTCTCCAGGCCAGGCCCACACACACAGCATCTCCAAAACGGCTGCGGATTCCCAGGCCAGCGGTCTTTCTCTCTTCCCTTCGGCTTTTCACAGTATAATTTGTATCTCTTTCAAATGTCACAAGCCCTGTGTGAGCATCAAGATTCTTCAACAGTGTCCACTAAGACCTTTTGGATTCTTCTCTAGAACGACGGAAACGAAGGTGGTGGGAAGAGACCCGATACGCCTTAAAGGGGATGGAAATAGGGCATTAGGTCCACAAAACCCGAAAAACCCTCATTCCTTATGATTAAGAAGTGTTATAGATACCGCTTCACAGATTTCTTTTTAAAACCTAAGTATACCTACATGTTGATTCCCCCATCAGACATTGTTGAGTCTCTTTGTATTGGAAACAAAGATGAGTTAGCCAGAGTCCCCGGTCGATGCTCACAGCTTCACGGGAGGCAGGGATGTGAGTAAGTATGTAACTAACAATCAACCGTAAAGACACGCACACATGGGACTCGGCCTGGGGTGCGGGAGGGCTGCACAGAGAGCGTCTCAGTCTGAGAGGCTTAGCAGGGCGTCCACGGAGAAATGGAAGGAGGCTTTCTGGGCTGTGAGGACAACGCTCTCCAAGGTGGACAGGACATTCGACGTGACGGGAACTGTGCACTGGGGGCTGGGTGGCGGGGCGGGGAGGGGCCAGGTTCTGATGGCTGCTGTCACCTGCATCGGCCCGCAGGCTGAAGGCAGCCACGCAGAGTGCAGCGCAGGTGGGTGCTTTGGAGAAGAGGAGCAGTGAGCATGCAGGAGGTGAGATTAGAGCCGATGAGGGAAAAAGAGAATAAAGAGCTATTTACAGGCAGAAATCAAAGGATCTGAACTTTCCGGATTTTTGGATGAACCCAAAGAAGGAATTGAGAAGGACTCCCAGGTTTCTATTGTGAGAGACCACATTCCCTGAGATGAAATTTCTCTGCACAGGGATTCAGAAAGGAGCTGTTGGTTTGCAGTGATGACAGGTGGGTGGAAAAGGTGAGTGTCTGTGTGTGGTACCTTGCCTGTGACACCCACGAGGGCTGCGAAACACAGTTCTGGCGACATGAGCCTGGTGTCAGCGGTGACTGTGGGATGTTTGCAGCCCTGTACGTAGGTGACAGCATCACAGACTGAAGTTCTCAAGGTCAAGCTCAGAGCTTATTTAGCCTCCACAATACCTCAGGCAGTGAGGTTTTGAATAAATGCTTATTGACTAAATAAACCATTACGTCTACACTTTTGTTTGACCTTAGTTGATGTGCCTCAATGCACTGAAAAAGTCTATAAAGAGTGAAGTTGAGGGTTGTTGGATCATTAACCATAAAGCCAGATATTCAAACTGTCAAAATGTCTAACTGAAGCCTAAGACCCAGGAATGCTTTTCTTTCGCTGTCTTATCTAAAAGCCCTCATTGACCATGTAATTGCCCTTAATCATCATCCAGTTTGCACTGTGCAAACCTGCCTCAAGGCCAAAATGCTGCAAATTGAGGAAGAAACCATGCAGCTAAATTTCAACTACTGCACTCATTCTTTTTGGGTTAGCTGAGCATTGGTGGGTCAGTCGTTATCTTTTCCTTTCCTCCAGTTTCTTTCCTAGAGTAAACTTTGCTCATCTTCTACACATACACAGAAGCTAGGGATGTAGTTTTCTTTAGGTAATTTTGTGGTTGAACAAAAAAAGACAGATAGAGTTGAAGAAACATATATCCCATGAGATAAAACATCAAATGAGGATAAAAGAGGAAACCAACGAGTATATATGCCTCATATAACTATGCTTCATTTGAGCTGTATTTGGCATTTCCTATTCACATTATTATAAAATAATTATTCCTCATAATTCCTGGTGAAAGATTTAGTAAACGATAAACATTTTACCAATTTTGATAAACAGAAGGAAAGTCTTATTGAGTTCTCTTCCTGAGATGGATGAGGGGGTAGAAGTTTGCTTCTCCGGGTGCTGTGGGACTGTGTACCCGAATGCTGCACCATTTTGTTAACCAGTGACACCTCAATACATCCAGTAAAAAGGCAACAGAAGAGACTCGAAATGTAACTGTTTAAGCCTTACTTACAGTCTCCGTGTTAAGAACAAAAGTGCAAAGGTAAACACCTCTAATACAAAAAAGAAAAAAAGTGTTTGTTTATGTACCTATGGGAAAGTAAAGAACAATTGTTAGAATAATACTTAATTGCTTTTTTGATAAGGGTCCAGAGAAAACTCATTTTTAAAAAGTTGGTGGTAAAGAATAGGATCACAGCAGCGTTCCTCATTTTTTAACGTCCATTCAGGGCTTCAGGCAGGAAGAAAGCCATGGACTTGGCCAGTGTCAGGCAGGGCTGGGAAGCGGTATACGCGGGCGCTGTGGCAGAGTCGCCACGTGGGTGGCCAGTGGCTCCTCGGTCCCGGGAGAAACGCCCTGTGGAGGACACGTCGTGGTCTGTGAGTGTGACTCGGAATGCCCCTGTTAAGAAGTGCACACGTGAGACATGAGTCTTGAAAGTGCTTCTTTGGACGCTCTCTGAGTTTGTCAGGAAAGTGTCCTGTCGCCCGCCACACGTCTCCACTGGTGTCAGGCTGTGCGTTAGCACCACCCAGAGGGATGGTGGTTCTGATGGGGTGGAGGGGGGAGCGGTGGCCAGGGGCGAGCTCACATGTAGGGATGGCATTTGAGTAGAAGTGTGAAGGTGAAGGGCGCTGGATCCTTGGAGAGCAGCCCAAACCCAGGTGTGTCGGCGGCCGCTGAGGGCACAACATTGCCGCAGGAGCCCACTCACCCAGAATGAAAGGCCAGTGGCGCCAGTGGGCCCAGCAGGTCTTGAGGCAGAGGAGGGCATTGCGAGCTGTGCTGCTGGCAGATAACTGAAGGAAGAAGGAAGATGATAAGTCATGACGAGGAGGAAGCGTGACTGAGAGGAGAGAGCATGCGTTGCTCACACCACAGCAGGAAGGGCAGGCATAGTCCGGGCTCCACCGACCGAGTCCTGCCAATGTCTGTGTTCACCAGGACGCTCAGAACGTGACCTCCAGGCCTTCCCTGATGTCACTGGTGAACTAAGATGAGGTTGCTCTGGAGCAGGTCGGCCCTTAATCTAATGACTGTGCTTGATAAGGAGGCAGGTGAAGACCTGGACAGACCCTGAGAGGCCCGGCGGCAACGGAGGCCGAGGCTGGAGGGGTGCGGCCACATGCCCAGGACGCTGGCCGCCGCAGCAGCTGCGAGGGCTGGACAGACTCCCCCGCGGGCCTCAGGAGGACCAACCGGGCCGACACCTTGCTCTCAGGCTTCCAGCCCCCAGCACCCTGAGAGGATACGTTTCTGTCGTGTTAAGCCACTCGGTTTGTGGTATTTTGTATGGCAGCCCCCGGAAACAACAGAGTGAGCAAAGTGGGTAACTGGTACCACACAAGCACCTGGGAGGGAGGCGTGCATTGTCAGCCACATACACATGCATCCACCTTAGTACATGTTAAATGAGGTGTGAAGGAAAAATCAAGGTGTGTTTCAATGTCCATGTGGTGCGGGGGCAGCTGAGAGCTGGGAGTGGTGGCTGGCAGGGAGGACGGAAGGCCAGGTGCTGGGGTGGCACTGGCCTGTTGGAGGAGACGGGCCCACAGTGGGTCAGGTCCTGGGAAGAGCCTGCCCGGAACAAGAAAAGACGGAATGTCACACCTCGGGATCTGACATGGAAGGGGCAGCACAAGAGAACAATTAGATCTGTGAGAGGAAGTGCCACCAGCCAAGAAGCTCGGTCCGCGGGAGGAGGTCACACATGGGAGCAGGAGGGCTGGACAGCGACTCCCGTGCAGCAAGCAGGACTTCAGACCTTCGAGCAAACTGGCTGCAGAAACGTGCAAGGTCATAGCCTTTTGTCATTTTCTCCCCATTGTCTTAGTAAGTACTTTGTAAAAAATTACATAGAATTAAATTCATTTTTCAATGACTTAACTCATTAAAAAATTCTAGTTGATCAAAGTCCTTTAACACTTGATACTTTTGTCTTGTTTCGATGAGAGACAGGAGTTAGGCAAAGAATATTACCTTCCACTCTGAGGCTTGGGGGGAAGACAGGAGCAGGTCTTTCCCTTTTATCATGTTTTTACAAAAATTAATAATAAATTTGGACAATTGTCCTCAAAAGTTAAATTTGAAGGAAAGTCTGCTTTGAAAAAGTGAATATTTTTGAAGGAGTAATTTCTGGTAAAGAATATTGAAAATCACTACAAATTCTGATTTTCACCACTGTATGTGCTGGCCCACCATATGAGCTACAGCCCTGCAGGCAGCTGGTCTGGCAGAGAGACCCCAGCCCTCACCCACGGCCTTCGCACACACACCCGGGAGGCTGGGCAGGAGCTGAGCTGTTTGCCATGTTTCCCGAGTGCACAGGGCTCTGTGCACACAGCAGTGTGTACACAGGGTGACGTACACGTGGATGCTACCAGGCACAGGCTCCCAACCTAAATGCCCTGGGTCCATCCAGAGCACGCAGCCATGCACTCACGCTCCGCAGTGCTCGTGGCCCCCCAGCAGTCTACTCCAGGCCCCTCCTCCTGAGAATCTGTAACTGTGTTTATCTGTATCACTTGTGAGTCACATCCTAATGGCCCGTAAATGTTATGGTGCCAAATATTAAAAGTTTAACAACGATTTTAAGACTGAAATAACAAAAAAGTTATAAAAATATTACAACATCCTATCTAATAAAGTGGGAATATGCAAATTGACCGCCACTCAGTCACAAACATGTCGGTGCTGATAGCCACAAGATGGCAGCATAGCTGTTACTTACTGTACTCTCAGAAAATGCCTGAAATCGTTAAGGAAGGTAAGCTGCTTATTGAAATGAAATGTATTAGATGGTGACTATTTTGTGTTTTTACTGGTATTCATATTTGTTCTCTTTACTGTTGGGTTAAGATTTGGGAAAGGCTGCTATTCTTATGTGTGTTGGTGTGTATGTTAATGTGTGTGCATATATGTGTACACATGGGTCTTACAGATGTAAATTTATAATCTACTAGAGGCCTAGTGTACGAAAGTCCCCTCAGCCCCACCAGGGGAGCGGCAGACAGGTGGCACAGCTGGACCTGTTTTCAGGAGTCCTCCAGTCCTTTTAGTCCCGCTGGCGGCATGCCAGCAAGCGGGCCCCGCAGAGAGCAGACAGCAGGGCCTGCTTGTGGGTCACCACAGTGTTGAGCAGGGTGGCCTTGCAGCGAGCAGAGAACCAACAGCTATGCTTTTGCCATTTTTCCCATGTAGTGGCAGCCTGCAAGTCAAAGAATGTTCCTGACAATGGTGCCTTGGGGGTTCTGAGGTGGCCTTGAGTGTCTCATTCATTCATTCTGACTGCACGTGACTTTGTATGCGGAAAGAGGGCCTGTGCTACGTTCGCTCTGAAGGTCCTTTAGTGTTCCTCTCTTTCGTCTTACACATGCCCTCGCATCTGTTCCTACTTATTACCTTTTCCTAATAGACTGCTGTTTTCTTTATCAAAAAAGTCTGTACTAGGATGTGCTGTGGACTGAATTGTGTCGCCCCAAATTCCTGTGTTGATGCCATAACCATGTGAGTGCAGCTGGAGACAGGACACTTAGGAAGGTGAGTGAGTTAAATGGGGTCCTGAGGGTGAAGCCCTAATCCGGCAGGCTGCTGTCCTTGTCAGAGGAGGATCCCCAGAAAGTGCTCTCCCTCCCCTGCCTCCCTCCCTCCCTCCTTCTCTTTCCTCCCCCCTCCCTCCCTCCCTCTCTCCCTCCCTCCCACTCCTTCCCCCTCCTTCCCCCTCCTTCCCCCTTCCTCCCTCCCTCCCCCTCTCTCACTCCTCCTCCCCTCTCTCCCTCCCCCTGCCCCCCACTCTCTTCAGGCACAGGAGAAAGGCCAGGAGAGGCCACAGCGAGAAGCAGCCACTGTGAGCCAGGAAGAGAGCTCTTGGATCTGGACTCCAGCCTCCAGAACTAAATTTCTGCTGTTTAAGCTCCAGTGTGCAGGCGTGTTCTGGCCGCCTGAGCAGACGATTATGGAATGCTTGCATGTCTAGCAAAAACCAGTAAAGCTGTTTTAT